ATTTATGTAGATTTACTGTACATTCACATTTTCCTGCAGGATTGTAACGGGGGAGAGGAGGTGAATGTTTTAAACGCTGCTGTTTGTCACAGCTTTGTCTCTGAAACTGTGTTTCTACCTTTTTATAACCAATTAAAAACAATCTAAATGGTGTTTTTGAGTTTAATTCAATCAGAAATGTGAAAAACTGTCGTTTGTTTCAAATTCTTTTCTTCCAAAGTTTCACTGTAACCATTAAAATTAGCTGAGGGAATCTTGGAAAGTATTTCAGATTATTTTTAAAGTAAAATGTGATGTTCACGAATGATTTGAATCTTTCAAAAGGCTTTTCACAACAAACAATCCAAATCGTTTKTAGTTTTATTTTTTAATCCTTGTAATATATTTATTTTTTTTCATTCTTAAATACAGAGACAATCGCTCCCGATTCACTTTTTCATGCGAAACAGGCAGAGCGGTGGAGTACAGGGGAGGGGCCTCCACCCACGTGATGTGATGATGTAACACATTGAAAATTAAACTGCTTATTTGAACAGATCTATGAAACAAGCAACTCCTCAAGATCCAGATCCCTTTAAAAAAGCATATTTCTCTACACCAGGTGAAACTTAAAATCAAGCGTGATCTCCGGCTGCAGGAGCAGTCTTCGAGGCCTCCTCGTGGAGCTCCGTCAGGGAGCTCAGACCTGGCTGCAGCCTTCGAGGCCTCCTCGTTGAGCTCCAACAGGGAGCTCAGACCTGACTGCAGCCTTCGAGGCCTCCTCACGGAGCTACGTCAGGGAGCTCAGGCCTGGCTGCAGCATTCTAGGCCTCCTCGCGGAGCTCCATCAGGGAGCTCAGACCTGGCTGCAACAGGGTTTTAGCTGCACTGAACGCTCCACCTCCACAGCAGATCAGAAGCTCCTGGTGCTGAGACACCTCACCTCGACTCTCACAAATCAGAGGTGATTCCCGCCTCCTCGGCTGCACACGACGGCCTTGCTGCTGCTCCACCGCTGCTCTCTGTTGCACTGATGCATCCTGGGTGTTTTTGTTGTTGCCTTTGAGCTGCTTTTCCTGCAACACTGCTCTGCCTGTCACTTTAACTTCACAGCTTCTTCTTCTTCTTGCTTCTGAAGTCAGTTGACAAGCTTCTCGTCTCGTGTTTTCAGTTTGTGGGACATCTTACTTGCATTAAAATGTTGCCATCTGTACATATACTGTATACTGTATATATATATATAT